GCATTTTCTTGCAGCGTACAGGTCTACGCCCACAGCTTCTACTACTGAATAAAAGCGAACGTTGAAAAAAGAAAGCGACGTTATGTCCTCCACACAATATTGAGAAAAAAAATTGTCTGCTTTCCGTATCTCTGTTATTTCTAAAATCTACATTTTACATGGTACGAATTTACAATAATGTTAATAAGCAGTTTGAGAACTTATTATTTTTTTGTCATATTGAACATCTTTATGGCTAATTAAATTCTAGGGCCGGGCAGTGAGGGCCTAGTCATCTTCAGGAAACAAGCTTTATCAGTCATTGTTCATTTAACTCATTTCAATCCTTAACATACTAATATTCGTTGGTGGGATTAGTTGGCATATAAGTCAAGTTATAAACGCCGTTATAAAAGCTGCTTAGGAAATTCCTAACACTAGGGAGAAATTGGTCTAAACAGCTTCTCGCTAGTGTACGCCATTGGAGGGAATCAAGCAACTCAAAGTTGTTTAAAACGGCCTTTTGAACAATAAAGGAGAGCATACCAATAATTTTGCTATCACATCCAAGGTTATCCCTATGAAGGAGTTTTGGGCAAACATTTTCTTTGCATGATCATAGTCTTTCATAAAGGATTTGTTGTAATTGATGCTTCTACTACCTGCCCAAAACCTTCTCAAGCTTTGAATTGTATAGTTGATATTTAAAAAACATTTTCGTTTATAAATCATTTACCCGCGAAATTACTTCAACAGCAATATCCTTTCCTTTTCTTTGCTTGAATGAAAACGAAAACAAGGATATCTTAGCTGAAACATCCTGTAAGCACTGATGCAAAACTTCTATGACACATTGAATTTTAGCTGAGGCAATTAAAACTTAATTTATGCAGTCATTTCTCAACATTTCGAGTGTTTCTACATAATTCGCAGCATAAAGGAAGCAAGTAAGCCATTCGGACAGGTTTCATTAGTTGCCCCGTAGACCCCTGTAATCATAGATGTCCATAAATTATGGAGATTCATATTAGGTTCAGTCTACTAACACCATCAATCACTTTTTTATTGATTGCACAAACGAATGGTAATGTCTACGGACATCCTGCATCAGCTCATCGTCTACTTTTCACCTGCCATTGTTTTGAGCTTTTCTGT